ATATATATATATATATATATATATATAAAATACTAGATATGTATAACAAATACATGAAATTAATGCTAGATACTTCTTTGATACATATGAATGTACTTGTATGACACTCATGTATCTAAATGTTTAGTTTGTTGGATACATCATTTATTGATAATAGATACATCAAATTAATGAATTTATTATTTTAAGAGTAATAATTTGAAATTAATCAAATTACATTACCAAGATATACATGTTTTTATCTTATATTAATAATAATAATATTAATGAATTTACTATTTTCAAAGAATTAATAAAAATTGGAAAATTTAATTATCTATGTATTTTGAAAATCCTCAATTACTCCTCTAATTAAGGAAATAAGTTACAACCAATTAATTTAAATAAATAAATTTTGTATCTCAATTTTAAAATTCGACAGATACATGTATCTCATGGATTCAGACTCATGTATCCTAATCATAAAATATGGTAGAGGAAGTAATATTTGAAACTATTGGGAATCTTAATAATTAAGACCTAAACTAGTGGGATTTATGTGGTTTGCCCATAAATTTTTCCTTGATTATTTTGCTTTGGGCCTAATTGGCCCTAAAGAGCCTTAATTCATTTGTTACAGCCTTGTACAATTTCTTCCTCAAGTTCTCATATGCCACTGGTCTTTTGACAAATTTGAGCAAAAGCTCAGTCTATTTTAGAGGAGGTGCCCCTGCAAGAGAAACAAAATAATTCACTATTATGGATTAGTAACGCAGAGATTAGTAATGGAAGAATTAGTAGTGCAGAAATTAGTAATGCAAGGTTTATTTTTATCAAGTGTTCGGTTCATTATTTTCCACCTCATCTTTTGTTTGGATTAAAACTCTATAAAACGTTTCTTTCCAATTATACCCTTGAATTATTATGTAACTGAGTCAAGGTATAGATAATTGACGGACAATATTATTATTTTATGGCGTTCTAACTAGCTATGAGAAGAACAATTTTGTTGTCATGTTTGATATTTTTTCACTTGAATTATTTGAGGATAAATAATTGTCATCTTAATAAATTGATCACTCACAAAATGTCAATTTTCAATTTTAAAAAGGATAAAACCATTTACTTTTAAAATCCAAAAGATGGTCAACAATGGTAAAATTGAACAAATCATCTACATTCATACATAAATAACTCTCATTTTAAATTTGTATTGGATTTATTTAGTAACAAACAAATCTCTCTAAATAATTTGTAAGCTAATTTATTTAAATAAATTTACTAGTACAAATATAAAACATAGAATAAAAAAAAACAAAATAATTATAATGATTTGAGAGGTATTTTTGTCTCTACATAGACTTATCCCATGATATTATATTCTACGTATTACTAATACCTCCAAATGGAAGATATTAGTAATACATCTTATAAATTCATATTTAGTTATATACAGACCCAAATTTCTACCAAACATAGTACTAAATAATAACGAACATAATACATAAACTATTTCTTTTAATGCGGCCTACTAAAAGTGTACTTTATGAGTAATTCCATTTAGCTAATTCATGTACATATTCAGATTTTATGTTAGTGGTGCTTAATATAAAGTTTTAATAAACCACTAGTCCTTTGTCACAATCACTGGGTATGTTGTTGTTGTACTAGTCCTTTGTCACAATAATTACAGATCTAAATTATATATTAATGTTACTTTTAAACTTTTTCTTTTTAATATAAAGGAAAATTTCTGGTTGACTAGTTATCCTAGAAGTACTAGTTTTTATTCATGTGATTTATTTAAAAAAATAAATGTTATTTGCTCTTTTCCATCATGTACCGTTTCTCTTGACAGGCTTCTTAAAATCACCGGTAAATTACCAAATAAAGATTAAAAAAATCAATTGGGTAAATTGGAAATTTTATCTCTAAATTGCTATGCAAAATTACAGATTTATGATTTGTTTTTTTAGATGTGCCCAGCACATTAATATTACAATTCGAAATATATCTATCAAAAACAGTTGATAGAATAATACGTAAAATAACATATAAAATAATAATATATAAACAAAAAATAAATTATAAAACTTATTAAAATAAAATTCTTAAATAAAAATTTAATCACACTTATGAAATATGCTGATTGATTAATAAGAAATATATTGGTACATATGTAAATATGAAAATGATATATTAGTCTTGAGAAAAATAATTTTTTATTTTTGCTTTGCTTTTATTTAAAAAGCAGAAATTTTTATTTCTTCCCAAAAAAAAAGAAGAAGCTACTTTTGCTTCCATTTAAAAACACTTTTACTGATTTGCCAAACACATAATTTTTCAATAAAAATGTTTTTTTTTTTCTCAAAATAAGTGTTTCGGCCTCCCAACAACAATGTCAAATGGTTCTTAGCATTATTGGCAAACATCATATTGAATCCCACTTCTTGCCATTTGTTTTTTTAAGTGAGGGTTCAATTCCCCGTATTATAATTCTTCCTTATTTTTTAAAAAGTAGAACAGAAACCAAAACATGTAAAATAATTATATTATATATATATATATATATATATATATATCTTATATATCATATGGAGCATGCTCCACC